TAGAAGCATTGGTAGACAGTCCAGTATTTTGTTGTTGAGGTACATTTGGCAGTTTTATCGAGGGCCTACTTTTATTCAAGAGTAGAAATGCATACTATCAGTCTTTGATTCCTGGCACTCTGATCTCCATTACATCCTTTGCTTGTGAGACAAAAAGTGTGTATTTACCTTTATATCTTTGTTTTGTATTTTCGAAGAAAGTTTACTTATCCTTTTAGGATTGGTTTATTTCACTAACCATAATGGTCTCCAGTTGGGACTACTTCTACTTGGTTGCAAATGGTAGAATTTTATTCTTTTTTTTTTTTTTTTAAAGATTTATTTTTATTATTTTGTTATTGGAAAGGTGGATATACAGAGAGGAGAGACAGAGAGGAAGATCTTCCATCCGATGATTCACTCCCCAAGTGAGCGCAACGGGTCGATACTATGCCGATCCGAAGCCAGGAGCCTCTTCCAGGTCTCCCACGCGGGTGCAGGTTCCCAAAGCTTTGGGCTGTCCTCAACTGCTTTCCCAGGCCACAAGCAGGGAGCTGGAAGGGAAGCGGGGCTGCCGGGATTAGAACCGGCACCCATATGGGATCCCGGGCGTGCAAGGCGAGGACCTTTAACCACTTGCGCCACCGCGCCGGGCCCGAATTTTATTCTTTTTAATGGCTGAGTAGTATTTCATAGAGTAGCTGTATTATGGTTTAATTTATTTTTAAAAATTTTTTGTAAAGATTCATTTATTTTTATTGGAAAGGCAGATTTACAGAGAAAAAGAAACACAGAGAGAGAAATGTGAAAACGGGTTTATTTAAAGAATATTCTTTTAGTGCAAACTTTCAAAGGTAAGAGCTTTAAAACCATGATATTGGGCCTGGCGCAGTAGCCTAGTGGCTAAAGTCTTCACCTTGCAACCACTAGGGTCCCATATGGGAGCTGGTTCTAATCCTGGCTGCTCCACTTCCCATCCAGTTCTCTGCTTGTGACCTGGAAAAGCAGAGGAGGATGGCCCAAAGCCTTGGGACTGTACATCCCTGTGGGAGACCCAGAAGAAGCTCTTGGTTCCTAGCTTTGGATTGACTCAGCTCCAGCCATTGTGGCCATTTGGTGAGTGAATCAGCAGACGGAAGATTCTTCTGTCTCTCCTCCTTTCTGCATATCTGGCTTTCCAATAAAAACAAATAAATAAAAAAATCTATTTTTCTGTTGAATTAAGAAAGATTCCTATTTGGGAATTACAAACTGCTCTAATCTCTTTTCCTTCTCCAATACCTTCCCGTGTTTGTTTCTTTGTTTTGTTGTGTTTTCAGTGCGAACTGACCCATAAGTTAATTCCATCGTTGGGTGTTCACCTTAACTTCAGTGCCTTTGTGGAGTGAATTGATCCTTAGCACTGTATTCCATGAACTCCATGTTACAAATAAAAGCTTTGAACAGATGTTTTACAATAAAATGTTGAATAAACATTTAGTCTTGTTAGAAAGAGAGATCAGAGTGTGAGATGTCAGAGAGAAAATTTTCCCACTAAGCTATCTCATTTTCTGCCACGTACTGTTAACGGCACAGAGGTCTCTGGACCCCTCTTCTCTCACGGCAGAACGGGGTAGGATGTGTGAAAATACCTTAGCTCACGCGCAGGACTCTGCAGCTGTGCAGCATGGAGTCTTTCTCTTCGCACTCCTTCAATGTAAGCATTTAGTTAGAGGTCTTAGGAGCTGGGTTGGGAAAAGGCCCCTGACAACATAAGATTCTAGAATTTAGACCACTTGATGTCCCTGTTTACACAGTGAGAAAGCACAAGAATGACCACTTCACAGAATCAGGAAGACTCTGTTACCCAATCCTGACTGTGCTGTTGAAATAACCACCAAGATTTAGTCATTTAAATCTAAAAATGTCACATTTCAGACAAGCTGAATGATAGGTCATCGTAGTGGATATTACTTCTCAGAGTTTAGAGACAGGAACTGAATAGTAATTCTTCTGGAAATGTATAGAGGCCCACTATATGCCTCTGTGCTTGGATACCCTAAGAGGATATTTTTGAGAAATCTTTCATAAATATTCATGGTTGTGTTTGGTGAGATGTTTAAAAATAATTCAATTTTAGCTTCTTTAAAAGTTCTATATAGAAGATACTTTTAGATCTGAAAGGGAAAGTTTCTTTTACTCAATGTCATAAAACATAATAATTTGTTTTGAAAAATCTTTAGGTAATTCAGGGACCATATCAGAGAAGATCCAATTCTGTGGCCTGCCTTCTAGATCTCATGCCAGTGTCTGGGCACATCGTCAGTGTAGCTCTCCTAACCTGTTACCTGATTCCTCTTAAGGAAATGGGTGTTTTCTGTCGCTTATGTAGACTGGCTGTTTAGTTCTTCCTTCTTCTGGATCACCTTGCAGGTGTCATAGGGAAGTCCTGACATGGGTATTCAGTTGTGTGATAAATGCAATCTTTTTTAATGTATTTATTTTATTTTAATTTAAATATCAGGCTTTAACAGATTCAATGTGGTTTGTAACTTACAGTTCTAAAAATGCGAAGATATTCCTTGCTTCTCTGCCTCCCCACCTTCTCCCTGCTCTTCCACCATCCTTCATCTTTTTTTTTTAAAAGATTTGTTTATTTTTAAAGATTTATTTGTTTTTATTGGAAAGACAGATTTACAGAGAGAAGGAGAGACAGAGAGAGAAAGATCTTCCATCTGCTGGTTCACTCCCCAAATGGCTGCAATGGCCAGAGCTGAGCTCACCTAAAGCCAGGAGCAAGGAGTTTCTTCCGGGTCTCCTATGCGGGTGCAGGGTCCCAAGGCTTTGGGCCGTCTTCCACCACGTTGCTAGGCTACAAGCAGGGAGCTGGATGGGAAGCGGGGCCTGTGGGACACAATCTGAAACTCATATGGGATCTCAATGCATACACAGCGAAGACTTGTGCCATTAGGCTACCATGCTGGACCCCTTCCTTAATCATAATAAAACCAATTGGCCAACAAAAATATCTTCAAGGTCATGATTTTCAGGGCATTATAAGTGTTAGGAACAGAAATGTTCTTTTTTTTTTTTTTTTTTAAAGATTTATTTCCATTATTTTTTCATTGGAAAGGCAGATATACAGAGAGGAGAGACAGAGAGGAAGATCTTCTGTCCGATGACTCACTCCCCAAGTGAGCGCAACGGGCCGATACTATGCCGATCCGAAGCCAGGAGCCTCTTCCGGGTCTCCCACGCGGGTGCAGGTTCCCAAAGCCTTGGGCCATCCTCGACTGCTTTCCCAGGCCACAGGCAGGGAGCTGGAAGGGAAGCGGGGCTGCCGGGATTAGAACCGGCGCCCATATGGGATCCCGGGCGTGCAAGGCGAGGACCTTTAACCACTTGCGCCACCGCGCCGGGCCCGAACAGAAATGTTCTTTAAAAACTCTATTCAGCTTTCTTATTTGAGTCGTTGGGAAATGGGCCCTAACAAGTTTAAGCAACCAGTGGCAGTTCCAGATATAGGGGCTAGTATTACACCACTGCTAAGTGCTTTGGTCTGGGTTTTAACCCTATCCTTGTCACTTACAAACAACCTTGACCAGGTTGCATAACTTTGCTCAAGTTTTCATATCTGCAAATGAGATATTCATAGAAAATAGTTTAGAGGATTATTGTGAGAATTAAATGAGTGAATACAGATTAAACACATCTGGCACATAGTACTTAATAAATTTGGTTGAAATTAGAATTCATGTTTCCTACCTCTTGGTTGATTGCTTTATCATTACCACGTTGTCTCTTGACATTTCTTAAACATCACAAAATATTACGATAGTGTGATTTTACATTAAAACTGATTAAATATTTTAGAAATGAACCACATTTAACAAGTATGCTAATAACCTCTTTTTGTTTAATCTGTGTGAGAAATGGCCATGTTATAAGAGAAAACTTTAGAAAGAAGTAAGAAAGCAATTTATGTCAGAGTATAATCAGGTAGTTTATTTCTTTTTATTACAGCCACAATTTCTAATTTGCATTAACAGTTGACCAGTTTTGTAGCTCATTAGATAAATGAGGAAAATTAAATGACATAAATTTATTATAAATGTACATCTAGAATATGAAGCTGTTACTGGAAACATATTGGAACTCAAATTTCCAGTAAAAAGAATCCTTGATTTTTCAATAAAAGAGAAATACATATTCCAGATTTAGATGGTATGGATTTATCAATGATTTGTAAATCAACTATAATCACTCAGTGTCTTTTAAAGAGAAATGCAAACTTGCAAGCTCTTTGTGAAGACACTGCTATAACAACAAGGGATAATTTTCAATATATGCTGCTGTCCACTTGTGGAGCTGTTAGTGTGGATTAGGCCATGATGTAGTGTGTTCAGCATCTTCTCTATTCATTTAATGGCAAGTACGCTAGACTATACCAGTTGTTTTTCTCAACCAGCCTTGTTTCCTGGTAGTGGGAATCTAATTTGTGTGCAAGTTGGGCCTCCTCTCAGATTTGGGAAGAAGTGAATTTTGCATAGTCTAAACTGGACATCTGAATTATCACCCTCTCACTGATTGGCTTAGGCATGAATTTGTGGTAGAATTTTGGCCAGTAAGTATTCAAAGTGTTTGCTAGGGTTGGGATGCTAGGGTGTTTCCATATAAAATGTATACATAGAATGAAACACTTCTGCTTCTGATAATTTTCCTCTTTCTGTGGTGCCTAGAATTGCAGATACTGTGTTAGGACCTTGGGGAGAGAACTTGCCTTGTAACATAAGCCTTTGTATATTGGCTGGTAACATGAAAAGCTGGAAAGAATCAAGATTTAAAAAAAAATGCTGGTAAATTGTCAGATGAATTCAACTTGAAAATACTCTATCCCTTGAATTTCCTGCTTAGCTCAATAATGAAAGCCATTGTTTAAGCCAGTTTTTGTTGCTCTCCTGTTTTCAACAGATAACACACTAGTTGGCATTATATGAGATATTTGATTATAATTTTGGCTTCTTTGTATTCTTTCATCATAGATGACAGAATGAACTGAATGAAGTCTGAAATAAAGTTTTGGTAGAACCAAGTATAACATGAGATTCTTCTCCAACGGTACGTCTTGCTGATGATCAGTATCTCAATATTTGTTAATATCTTAATTAATCTTAATGCATTAATATTAATATCTTAATTTAAAAATAATATTAACCAGAGGCATTTTTGTATACTTGGGTTAGTATTTTGGGCTCAATCTTACAAATATTAAAAATACAGAATACTTTTCCGTTGGATCCCTGCTTTGTTGCAGTGTCTTTTCCCCTTTTTAAGTGTTTGCGGGTCACAGCTCAAGCAGTGATGTAGACATTTTGTTACATTAGAAGCTGCTTCCTTAGGTATGACTTACCATTTTCCTTGCAAAAATGCTTAATTTAGCAGTCCTGAAGTTCATTTCCCATTTATTTTTACAAAGTCATGAGCTCAGAATCATGTAACAGCTTGTAGATGAAGAAGACTGTACTTATATGAATTGCTGTGTGTTAAATGAAATAAAAAGTTAATCTGACATATATATTAACATTATTAATTTTTTGCTGATATTTAGACATAGATTCATGTAAATTGATTCATGTAAATCACTGTGGTTACAGCTAATAGGAGTCTTTAAAAATAAACAGAGTTGAATAATGATAAAATCTATAGGGAATTCCCACCACCTTTAGAAAATCTTCCTCAATGTCATCCCTGAATAAGACAATGTAATTTGGCTACCAACTTGAAGCATGTCGTTACTGTGTATGGTTATGTGCAGAATACTGTTTCCTTTTACTGTATAAATAGCTCTTCTCCAAATGTTGTAGTTTCAAGAGGCTTATCCTCAAACTCTTTAGGAACCAGATAACAAATACAGAGAGGCAGGGGCTCATTTAAGGATTACATTGGGCAGTAAGGTATTTCTGTCATCCAAGCAAGGTAAACTTCAGGTGGAGTGAACACATGGAGCCTATTAGGAGAGATCCTGTGAAAAGTTCCCCAGGACTGGCAGACCTTAGCCATTGGCATGTCACATAGAGCTTTCTGCTTATGTAGGTAACACATAGACCAATATTATGTTCATTGTTCTTATGAAAGAACAAAACTCCTTTTCCATATACTATGTGTATGCTGAAAGAATACAGCCTGCTAGTACATTCAGTAGGGCTGTCTGTAAAGAGAGACTGGGGAGAAATGTATTTCCTCTTGTCTGATGGAAGACAGAAACAAAAGTGTGATGGGCTGTTGCCTTGGATTTTCGATTTCTTTCTTTCTCAGAGTTTTTGTTGTACTTACTGAAAAACTTCCCAGCTCAGTCTGTAGAAACTCATGTGTACAGGGAAAAGTTCTCTCTACTCTCCAAATTATGGCTTAATTGAGCAAAACCAGCTTTGCATGATTACAGGATCTCATTTTAGGAAGAATACTGCAAATAGTGTGTGTAAGACTGAGCTATTGTTTGGCATTTCATTCTATAGGGAAGTGCGCAGCATACTCTTATGAGGGCCTGTCTTCCTGCATCCTAAAATTTCCTTTGTATCATGTCTTTAAAAATTAAACTACAGTTTATGTTGGAGATGAAAGTGTACCTAATTCTGGAGGATCTTAGACTCTGAAACTTGTGTTTAATGGTATCCATGAGCTTCAGATAAGAACTGATTCATGAGCACCGTTGAGGAGTATGAATGGGGATCAAGAGATTTGTGTAGCTGTTCTGCTGGACTCTAGGCGTGTTACACCAAGTAAAAAATAATAAAATTTTTTTTAATGTTTAGTTATTTGTTTGGATTAATGAGTGTCAAGGAATGTGTGTGTGTGTGTGTGTGTGTGTGTGTGTGTGTGTGTGTGTGTGTTAAACTACAGGGCACAGCTCTATGTACTGGTCAGCCCCTCAAACTTTTAGAGAATTTCCTTCTGGTGCTGAAAGTGTTAAAATGCTGTATTTTATTTCAGCAGGGGAGATGAAGTCCAGTATAGTGACATGCAGTCTCAGCTAATTTTATAGTAGGTTACACTCATTTTTACATCTATGAGAATGCTTACACATTTCGAATGTTTTAGTTTAGATCCTCTACATATTGTAGCCTCTTTTGTGTAAAAAGATCTGTATAATCTTAATTTTTATGTATTCTTGCACAAGACACACACTGCAAACTGCAGGGATTCAGTAAATCTTGATAACTAGCCAGTTTTAGTTGCTAGATAGCACAGTTCTTTAAAACCTACAAAATAAAAACTTCAGCAATTAGTAATAGAAGTAGTCTTAATCTGTTAAGAAATCTATTTAGGGAAGGATATGTAAACATTTCACTTGTCTTGGTAGCATTCTTCCTATGTTTTCTACTTTTTAATGACAACAATAGACATAATTTAAGCACTTTGGCTACTGTCATAATCATATCTATAAACTTTATTTTATATCTCCCTAGTGTATCTTACTCAGTTGCTTATTTTGTTTTTCAGTGTATCTTAATTTAAGTGCCCTTTTTTTTTTTCTGCCCAAATATGATACAAGGCACAGGAGGAAGGGCAGGTCATTGGAGTGTCAACTTTTCTTTTTCCTTGGTCATCTGTTCCGTTCCTTGGCTTTCATTCTAGAGCACATACAAGTCCCTCAATGAGCATTTACTGATAACCATGAGACCCATGGTCTCTGAGCTGTGTAGGGACTCCAGGCTGCAGATGAAGGAAAGCGCAAACAAACCAAAATAGATGGATCTGCCTTGGTTAATGAAAATCACAGATGGAAATACTCCCCCCCACCCCCGTGGACATGCTGGGATTTTAGAACTAATGCTATTAATCAATCTGTCCTAAAACAGAAACAGTTGCAAATATGTAGTGTAGAGTATCAGTGGAATAGAAAACAAACCTTTATGCCTGATTTTTTTTTTGAAGTTGAAAAATGTTGCCATCCTGTTTTTGATGTAATTGAAAATGTTTAGAAGCTTTCCTGAAGACTTGATTAATATATCAAAATCAAAAAAGGCAATCTTGAGTCTAATTTTGTTTGTTTACTGTATAATACAGGATTCTTGGCTTTGAAATTCTGCTGTGCAGGGTGAAAAATGACTGTCAGTGTGAAACAAAGTAGTCTATTGAAAAGAACATTGTGTCTATTAGGAAACAGCTGATAGCCCAGTAAATGATATCTGGAATTATGGTATCTTAATCATTCTGATTAGCTCCTAGCGGGCAGAGGAGTGAGGCCAGATTTGGCTTCGGGGCAATCTTTGCCTTCCTTATCCCTTGGTTCAAGAACCTCAAGGTTGGGGGAATTGCTGGGGAGCCGTTTTCATCCAAGCTGCAGCAACAAGGAGAGTTTGGATCTTGGTGTGCTGCACAGAACACAGTATTCCGTGTGTGCATAACTGTGGAAGAGATATCACGAGGGAGGGGTTGACATAGCTCCCATGGGAGGCTGTGGTAATCTTGATAATGTTCAAAAAGATTTTTCAGTGGGTTCTTGATTTTATAGATCTTAATGAAACTGAAATAATTTGTGTTTTGGCTTCCATCTTTTGGAGTAAGAGTTCAAGAAAACATACTGTGCAAGAAAAAAAAAATGTAGTGAACTCTTAGCAAGAGCTTCTCCTTCTTTGGTTGAAGTATCGGCACTCAAAGAGATAGATACTTGCCCTAGAGCACTCTTACATCTTTAGTTTTCCAGGAAAATACCAATTTTAAGTACTTCACCTATTACAATGTTTAACATCTCTCAGAGTCTACAATATATTTGTTTTTATTTGGGTTTTGAAACCAGGTGTAACACAGAAGTCTTCTTATGGAATTATAGATATTGATTTGGGCTTCAGGAAATAAGTCTAGAAACACATCAGACCCACTGATTTCCCACCTATTTTGATAGCTATGGAAACTTCAAGGACAGATTTCTAAGCAGCTTCTGCTTGAGTATTTCTGTTGATGCATTGCAAGTTCACACTGCACAAGGCATTTAATTGTCAGTAAGTTTTGTGTGGTTAGCTAGATGGACATCTTCCATGACCCCGTTTGACTGGAGCAAGGGAGCCCTTCAGAACTGGAGATGAATATTTTATCCCCTCCAAATCTTTTTTTTCTCACAGGCCCAGGTTCAACAAAATCTTTAATCATTTCATTCATAATAAGATTGTCTTGTCCCATGAGCCTTAATTATATGTAGAATGGAAGCTTCTTCCCCTTAAAAAATACTGATAATGCAATTTAAGATTGTCTTGGTTCATTTGATAGTCACATTTTATTTGCTGGTGGTACAGATTGAGCTTGTGGTTCATTGATGCCAATTCAACTGTTTCAAATAAATAACTGTACCATCCATACCCTGACACACACATACCTGGCCATTTGGACCTTAAAACTGGTGTATGGGATTTGACTTAATATTTGTGTGTTTTAAAAATTCTAGCCTGCAATTTGAATGTGTCAAACTATTGTAAAATTTTGATTCTTTTAAAATCTATTGTATTGGTTTACCTGTTAACTGCCTATTTAAGTAGATTTCCCATATTTTCATATGTATTATCAGGGTATTACAAAAACAGATATATTTTGCAGTGAGAAAGATATTAGATTTTAATCTCTGCTTCCTCATGTATCTGTTGTCTGATATTCATACTCCTGTCCCAGTTCACTAGTCTGAAAGATATGATGATACAAATTTCTATGTAAGTTGTTGAGAACCAAGTACAAAGTACTGTCACTCACATTGTAGGTAGCAATGATTGTATTAATTATAAAGATACATTGTAAAGATTTACTTATTTAAAAGTCAGTTACACAGAGGAATAAAGCAGAATGATGGACTTATGACTGCTCATGAAGGACTACCCATTGTAATACTAGAAGGGAAATTAGTAGAGGTGGGGAGGGGACTTGCGTAGGGGAAGGGGGAAATCCCAGAGTCTGTGGAACTGTATTGTAAAATTAAAAAAAAAAAGAAAGATAGTGGGGTCAACATGATGGCATAGCAGGCTGAACCTGAGGAACCAGCATCCTTATGTGCGCTGGTTCTAGTCCTGGGTGCTCCACTTCTAATCCAGCCACTTGCTAACAGCCGGGGAAAGCAGTGGAGGATGACCCAA